GTCCGGTGTGCAGTAGACAGTGTGCACTGGGCAGGTCCCCCAAGACAGCAAGAGCTGGAGGGTGGGAGTGGCTCTTCTGGGCCAGTGAGCATGGTCTCTTGGTGTGGGTGGTGCTGGTCTTCCAGCTCTGAGTGTACGAGGAGACGTGGGGACGATGGGAATGGTTGGTTCTTGGGATGTGTGTGAGAATGCTGGGCCTGCTGCATAGTTAACACCCCGTCCCCATGGGCTTCCTTCACCCATACTCTTTAGGGCGAGCTGTAACTGGTGGAGAACCAGCTGTGCGTCACAGCAAGGCCTGGGCGGTGGGTCGAGGTCCAGAGCGCTGGGTGGCCCTTTGGTCTCGCGTGCACAGTGCACATGCTGACCCCTGACGCGTGTCTGCCCCTGCAGTCGTGCATCGAGGCCCATGAGAAAGACATGGAGCTTTCCTTTGCCGTCCAGCGCAGCAAGGACATGGTGTGTGGTGTCTGCATGGAGGTGGTCTACGAGAAGGCCAACCCCAGCGAGCACCGCTTTGGGATCCTGTCCAACTGCAGCCACACCTACTGTCTCAAGTGCATCCGCAAGTGGAGGAGCGCCAAGCAGTTTGAGAGCAAGATCATAAAGTGAGGCTTCTCCCGGCCTGCCGGGGCGTTCTCTCTCGGGGAAGTGTGGTCTCGATCCGGCCTCACCAGACGGACTGCGTTTTGAGTGCATGCGTTTTCTCTTGACCGGGGGCCTCTCCTGTGTGTCTCAGCCAGCTCCTAGGTCAGTTGGTCTGCCCACTGTAATTTGGAGGAGGAGACCCTGTGTATCCGTTAGTGGACCCCCTCATGCTCTCTGCGGAGCCTGTGTTCCTGGATGAGCCAGTCAGGCCCAGGCAGCAGACCCCACTCTGAATGTGTGTTTCCTGGCATTATCCATTTCCCTCGTATCCTCTTCCATCCATTAAAGCAGCCAACAACCCCTCTCCCTCCCTTAAGATTGTTCTCGTTATTGAACAAAACGGCATCCTCTAAACGGAGCAAAGTTGCAAGAAATAAATCTATTTAAACGAAAGAAAAAGGAGTCTGTGTGAAATGTCATTTGTTGTTTTTTTGTTTTGTTCTGTTACCTTTTTCTGTTTCTGTTGGAACCTGAGTTATCTATTGATGATTTTCCCTGTGCTGTTTTTTCTGAGCTGGCTAGCAGGGAGTGGCGCAGGTGAAGGTGGGCATCTGTCTGTCAAGCCCGCAGGCATGGGCAAGGTGTGGCTGTGCAGGGGAGCCCCCTTAGCAGGCTCCGCTTGGAAGCGGGAGAGGTGCCCAGGGTGCGTCGTGGAGTCTGGGCCTGAGCCTCTTCATTGTTCCCCAGGTCCTGCCCCGAGTGCCGCATCACCTCTGACTTTGTCATTCCCAGTGAGTACTGGGTGGAGGAGAAAGAAGAGAAGCAGAAACTCATTCAGAAATACAAGCAGGCGATGAGGTATGAGCGCCGCGGCCTCCTGTCACGCCGGGCGCCTTGGGCTCACGTGAAAGGAAGCCAGCGGTGGCCGAGTCTGCTCCTCCCTCCTTCCTGCCCCCGGCCCCTCAGCACTGGCCCGTGGGTGTGCAGCCGTTACACAGCCCTCGGGCGGCGGGCTGCCCCGGGTCCTGGGTGCTGTGTCCTGACGGCGTCTGCGTTCGCGCTGCCCTCCCGGAGGCCGCCCCTCGTGGGCTGGCCCGAAAGCCAGGGGAGTCAGGCGTGGACTGTTTTCCTTTCCAGCGACAAGGCGTGCAGGTATTTTGATGAAGGACGTGGGAGCTGCCCGTTTGGAGGCAACTGTTTTTACAAGCACGCCTACCCCGATGGCCGTAGAGAGGAGCCTCAGAGACAGAAAGTGGGAGCCTCCAGCAGATGCCGGGTAACTCTCCCGTTTTTCTTAAAGGAGCAGGGCAAGTGCCCTGCTGCCCTGTGGCCTCCTGCCAGGGCGGGCTGGCCGGCTTGGCATAGGTGACTCGGAGCGCCCCCTGCCTGGAAGCTCACCGTCGGAGCCGGCCTTAGGAAGGAAGACACCGCCCGCCAGGCTTGGTGGCGCTATCACGGCCTTGTTTCTTCCAGGCCCAACGCAGGAGCCACTTCTGGGAGCTCATTGAGGAGCGAGAGGGCACCGGCGACCCCTTTGACCACGACGAAGAGGAGGTGGTCACCTTTGAGCTGGGCGAGATGTTGCTTATGCTTTTGGCCGCAGGTGGGGACGACGACGACGAGCTCACGGACTCGGAAGACGAGTGGGACTTGTTTCACAACGAGCTGGAGGACTTTTATGACTTGGACCTATAGCGGCCCAGCTGGGCCGAGCCTCGGCCAGTAGCCCTCCCTCCGAGGGGCACGGCGGGCCCAATGACCTTGGCAGGCCTGCCCACCCAGGTGCTCTTGTACCCCACCCCCTGCCCCAGCCCCCAGCCCCGCTCCCTACACCCCCAGCCCCCAGGAGTGTGTTGTTTTCTCTGTTGAAAAAAAAAGTTACAAAAATAAATCTCGAAGTTAGTCTTTTTGTAATACGAGTTTACCTGTCAGACAGTTAGTGTAGGTTTGCCGCGTTCTTCTCATCCCACCAGGCCCCCAGCCCTAGGATTGTGCCCCACCCTGCTCCCAGGACCCCGGGGGAGCTTTGGCACTCGGCCACACCTCGGGGGCCTGGGACTGGGGCGTGGGAGTAGGCCACCAGCACTGGTGCTCTCCTTCCTGTATGCAGACGCAGGCAGGCGGCAGTGTGCCTGGAGCCCCGTGTGCTCACGGTTGGGAGATGACTGGGCACGTGGAGAACCCTCTCGGTGGAGAAGCCACCTGCAGAGCTGTGGCATGTGTCAGCTGGTGTGGCCTGTAGTTGGAAAGGGCTGGGCCGTCCGTCCGTTGCTAGCGGTCCTTAGCACCGGCTCGCTCTGTCTATACTCATGGGGTGGGGTGCACCCCTGCGTGAGAATGTCTACCCACCCTCTGGTTCATGTTCCAGGGCTGCCTGGTCCCCTGGGCCAGGCTCTTCGTCTACACTGGGTTTTGCTGGTGGTCTGAGGACTGGCCTGCCCCTGCCCCTGAGCTGCAGACACTGGGCCTCACCCAGCACTGTGTCAAGGTTGGGGCATCCCAGTGGTGAGGGTGCACTTGCTTCCCTCCCGAGTGGGACTTGGAGATGCTCTGGCTGTCTACCTACTGCTCTGACCCCAAGGATCCGCCACCTTCTTTCACGTTCAGAAAAACAATTGTCACGGACGTGTCTGTATTTTGCAGCTGCCCTTTTGTAAGAAGCACTTTTCCCAAATAAAAGAATTAAAAAAACCAAGCCACCTCGTGTGATTGTCATGAGCTCTCTTGGAACGTGCAGCCGTCTGGGCACAGCGTGTGCTGCGTCCATGCACTCTGAGGGGTCAGCTCCTCCCTGAGGCTCCGTCATGGGGGTGCAGAAACGAGCAAAGGGCCCCTGGCTGGAAAGCATCTATGAGAGAACGTAGGGAAGGGGGTGAGGGTGGCAGGCAGTCAATAGCTGGGCGCAGCCGACTGCCAGCCCTGGCTTGATCGAGGGCGCCACCGGGTGCATGAAACTGAGCCTGCTTCGTGGGCCAAGTGGGTCTGCACACGGCACAAGTTGAAAGGTGGGGTTTCCTTGGACACAGGGACAGCTCCACTCCTGTGCAAGACCCCCCACCCCACCTACTCCCATCACTCTTAAGTGCCGAGAACCTGCGCCGTTGGACTGGGGTCGGCATCTGGGGATCAGCCTGCTGGGCTTCTATTCCGGACACTGTGGGTTTGCTGTGTGTGAGGGCCAGAGGCGCACCTCCAGCCGGCGGGAGCCCCCCTGCACTGGCAGCCACCTCTGCCTTCTGCCTCCAAGGGTGGTCACGTGGAAAGAGGTGTGCCTTCCTGGCCAGTAGGGGAGGCAGGCGGCTTGGGCACTGACAGGCAGACAGCATGAACAAGGGCTCTGGGGGTGTGATCGGCTGCAGGGAACCTTAGGTTGGCAGTTGGGACCCGCTTTGCAGAGCCTGATGCTAGAATGGGCCTCTGCAAAGATGACCCCAGGAGGGCCGTGGGGGCCTTTCTCTGATGTGCGGTTGCCCCTGAGTTGGGATGGCCTCGCAGCCGCAGCCATGGGTCTTGGCACTGTCTCCTTCCTGTGGTTTGGGGCAGGCACTGGCCGTGCTGGCTACAGCCGCTGCTCCACCACCGCCTGCCCCACCCTCAGGAGTTGGCATGAGCGCCACATGCTCGCTCACATTCGCCTTTCCTGACTCACGGATGGGCACGGTTCTTCCTCTTTAAAAATTGAGAGGAATGGACATCCCCTTACAGAAAGGTCTCGGGGAGGAGATGAGCCAGTCAGGGTGCAGTATAGCAACGATGAAACATACAACTT